GTGCTATTTGCTATCTGGGTTTCTCACAACCTCCCCTTGCCCCGTCCATCCAACTCAACAGCAAAGTCTTTGAAGAAAACAGTTGTGGCTTCTTAGAATTTTAACAATGTAAGGTTCAACTCAAATTAAATTATTCTATTATTAGTTTTGACACATTTATGTGTTAAATATGAAGGCCTCTGTTAATTTGGCAAATTCCTCGCATCTCTTCGTGGCTAGAATTGCTGGTAACACCCTCTCTTGTAGGAGCTTCTTCTCATGCTTTCTTTTCATGATCTAAATGAAATGTTTATTGGATTAAAGTTCTTCTCTGCAGACCTCCATGGTGGCCTGTGACAAAGAGCTTAAAAGCTTTATTAATTGGCTCAGGCTTTTTGGGGGGATGCAGGACCTCATTTCACATTACATCACAAGCAAATAAAACTGCCACGTGTAATTAGACTAATTTACCCTGATACAGCAGAAATCAACTATTCCATATCTACAATATGCTTTGACTTATTCATTTTAATCAAGGAGTAACCAAACCAAGCAAGAACTCAGGAAATCCTTAACAATCAAAAGCAGTGAGAAGGCAGGAAGCCCAACACTGAGCAACTCTTTTATCCTAAGGTAAAGTTTTGATCTGCACCTAAATAAACTGTCTAGAAGCAAGCACGTGTAAGACAGACATAGAAGGTAAGCAAACCAAACAGCTTAAAATCTAGTGAACACACTAAGGCAATAGGTACGTTATAACATATTAACAGTTAAGTGCTCTAAACTACAGAATTCAAATAACCCTTGTGTTTAAACTTAACACACACACAGGCTTAGAAGGCTGAATGCAGAAAGTGCTGGTAACTTCTAATCTGACACCTTGCTTTCTATATACATTTTGTTAGTTGACACTCAGAAATTTGTCAAACTGAAATTACCCAGAAATTATACTGATGTTCAGGAAAAAATACTTGCAATCATGCTCTATTTTTTATTTTCACTTTTTCTATGTTTAATTAGGTACACTTCACAAAAGATGAGTACTTCTATTACTTGCAGAAAGAACAAGAACAAATGCTCCTTCTACTTAGGAGTTTGCTTGGTTACATACTAAGAAGGGAAACAAAAGGCCCAACATCTTCAGTAATGAAAAAGTCAATTGATAGGCAAAGCCATCACAATATCAAAGGCCTAATCCCTGCAATTCTGACTCAGGTGACAGTTCACAAGGGTCAGAGTGGCTGACACTGACCTCAAAAGCAGGTTTTAACTATTCAACATACTGAAAGCTGCTGGGCTATCACACCATTAGACTGGAACAAACTGACAAATCAATTTCATCAAGGAGATGACTTTTTTTTGCGGGGGGGAGTAAGGAGGGGGTAAAAGAGGCAGATCCCCCAATCAACAAATCCCTGCATTTCTCACACAGGTGGTTGGACAAAAGCTGACTGCACCATCAAAGACATTTTACATCTACCCAATGCCTTTGTACAAAACTGACTCCCACAATTTCCCTAGGGACAGCTGTAAATGGTTTAAACAAGTACTTTTCACATATTCGAACTAAGTTATTGAAAAGTGAAAACACTTTTCAATTCCTCTATTTCCTGCTTTGTAAGAAAGGGTATATTTTAATTAAAACCAGAGCAGGCAACAATGGCAATAAATAATCACCGTTCTATTCTGAGAAATACAGTGAACAATAGAGTATATAAAAAATACACTGCTTTCTGTTTGAGACGAGTGCACAATGCTTATGGTTAAAAGTCTTTTTAACCAAATAGTTTTAAAATAAATAAATATTTGGTCCCTATCAGCAGAAGAAAAAAAGAAGTTCACTACAGAAAGCTTACAGTAATTTCATGTCCTACTGACAATACTGTCAACGGGGTTTTGGTTGATTCTAAGCAAAATGAGGGTAGTCAAAGCAAACATTTTATTTTAGAACTGTACCTTTAAAAGGTATCCTCAGGCTGTAAAAAGCTCTAAAACTTCCAGACCTTCAGTTAGAATTTAGTGCAGTGCAGGTCTGCTGCATGAAGAAAACCTGACAAAATGCAGAAGTTACATATTTGGCATTTTGACTCAGCCTGATGTTTTAGAGCTACACACTGTGGTCCCAGGAAACCTTTGGAAACTCAAGAACTGCTCATTTAAGTTACAGGCTCTACAAAACAAACAGTTGAAGGAGCTTTCCTTCCCGACTGCCCAGAGAATGAAGCATTGGAACTAGCCACTGAACTAGAATCAGGATTCCAGAACACTCAATGGTTGATGCAAATGTCTTCATTAAGTATCTGCATAAGCTAAAATGTGCCAAAATTACTGCAAACCAGTAAATTAAAGCATGCTTTTATTATTTTTTTTTAAGAGCCTCACTTCAGCTCTTGCATCAAGTTGTTAAAAATGAGTGGGATGTGTGGGAGTGTTGATCTGGTTGAGGGCCAGAAGGCTCTGCAGAGGGATATGGGCACACTGTGTCAACTGGCTGAGGCCAACTGCTTGAGGTTCAGCAAGGCCAGGGCAGTGATCATCCCCCTGTACTCAGCACTGATGAGGCCGCACCTCAAATACTGTGTTCAGTTCTGTGACCCTCAGTACAAGAAAGACACTGAGGTGCTGGAGCAGGTTCGGAGAAGGGCAGTGGAGCTGGTGAAGGGTCTGGAGCACAAGTCCTTAGAAGAATGGGGTTGTTTAGCCTGGAAAAAAGAAGGCTCAGGAGGGACCTTACTGCTCTCTGCAACCACCTGAAAGGAGGTTGTAGCGAGGAGGTGGCTGTTCTCACAAATAAGAAGTGGTAGGACAAGAGAAAATGGCCTCAAGTTGCACCAGGGAAGGTTTGGGTTGAGCATCAGGAAAAATTTCTTCACCAAGAGGGTGGTCAATTACTGGAACAGGCTGCCCAGAGCAGTGAAGGAGTCACCATCCCTGGAGGGATTAAAAACATGTAGATGTGACACTTAAGGACACGGTTTCATGGTGGACTTGGCAGTGCTAGGTTAATGGTTGGACTTGATCTTAAAGTTCTTTCCAACCCTGACAATTCTGTGATTCTATGATTCTAAGATACACAGCTTTATTTGTAAACCGTTTCTAAAATGTTTAGAAAATTTTTCTATTTCTTACTGGTTTAGATCAACAGTTTGTGGAGTATTTCTGCTCTGAGCACTTGCACAAAGTAACAGTGAGCAGCGATTGTGTTTCCCTGCAAGAGCTGCCTTTGTTAAAAAAAAAAAAAAAAAAAGAAAGAAAAAAGGAAAAAAAATCACTTAGGAGTTCCATGCACTTTAAGATGCTCAGTAAGAAATCCTGCAAGATTAAAAGCGCAATCAGAAGGGCCTGAATCTAATTGCAATTATAGAATTAAAAGATTTTTCTCCCTAATACTTATCTCTGTAAAGCTCTGTCTCTAAAATTTCATGACCTGAAGAAGCACTCTTCTCTGTTGCAGAAACTAAGCCCTCCCATAAAGAATTCCCAAAGAATGTTATCCACAACAACAAACTGATAACTGAGTTTTTTCCTGCTTATGAAAACTACTCCCTTTAGTTACAGAATTAAGGAATCACTGAAACATGAGATCTCACACTAAGTAAGATTTCAAAAGATCAGAACACTGACAGGTTCAGAATTGGGCAGGGGACACGCATAGGGCAGGAAATGCTGTCAATAGCCTTACTGGCCTGCCCAACTACACAAACCTGAAGCTTTTCTGCAGCTATCAGCTGGAGGATTTGTAGCTTTTCATGGCCTCAAAAAGTGGAATTTATCAATTTCACCTTCCACTGCAGGCATTCAGCAATCACTTGTCCTCAGTAATCTACCACCTAGAAAGACAACACAGACAAACTTTGCAAGGTAACTGTATTTTCCATAGAGCGCTGTTTCACTTTTTGCTTATTCCACAGAAATTGGTTTGTAGTTGTCTTTGTAAGAATAGGAACCCAAATACAGATACTGGAATTATATTGTCCCAAGAAAATAAAATCAACAACAAAATTAAGGATGAGCATGGATAACTCTAGATCTAGGAAAGAAACCGCTTCTTTTCATCATTTGAAGACAAGGAAAGATTTTTATATAGCAGTTACCAGGGTATCTGGTGTCTCTGCATTCCATGTATGAGGAACAGAAACAGCCTGAAATCTATTTCAAGTGAACCACCTCATCACAGAAATGTACTGTGATGTTCATCCCATGTTCCCAAGAACTTTAAAGGAATTTAAAGCTCCCGTGCTGAACTTGAACTACTTTTAGCTCTAAAGCCTTATTTTAAGACTTATGACCATAGAAGTCAATTTCTGAAACAAACAAAACCAACCCATCCATTCACCCCCACTAAACCCCAAACAAAAGCCCTGCAGGCGGCTCTGCACTCAGAGAAAACTAAGACAGGAGTAGTCCAAGCTGTCAAAGACACTGTCAGGGAACAGGTTAGATGAGACTGACACTACTACAGACACACATGGCTCGGTGTGAGCTAAAGGCAGAGAAGACAGTAAGCGGACTCCAGGAAGCTGTCTTCAGAGCTGCTACTTGTTGAACATTATGTGAAACCTCACAAGTACCCATTCAGAAAACCACTTACAATGAGAAAGACCCAGAAACAAGGTAACTGAGGGGTACATACCAAACACTACTTTCTTTACACCAACAAAAACACCAGGTTTTGTAGCATAACAAATGCAAGATGTCCACAAGTACAACACAGTATAGCTGTTAGAGGAATACTATATTACATGGCATATGCACACCAGTACAAAGTCTTACCCCAAAAAATTCTGTTACTTTAGTCAAAAAGGTAACTTTCTGTCACATTAAAAATATCCAGCTTTCAAAACATTTTAGTTGTAGACAGAAAGAGTTCTTCTTGCCTTACCTTCAATTATTTTCACCCCAAACAGTTAAAGCACATACATCCTCTCTGGAAACTAGCATCAAAGCAATCCTGTACAAATTTATAATTTATTAATACAGCAGGGAAAATTGAGAAGCATTTAACAAGTGACTCTCCTTACCTTCAGCACAGCAATGAATGGTACAAAATTAGCTCTCTGAAGACCATTTTTATAGAGATCTGAAAGAAAGGAAATCAGTACCATTTTGCTACTTAGTCTTAATAACAATGTCGGCTTGTCTTTTAGTCTGGCGAATAAAACTCAGTATTGCCAGAGACAGAAGGAACAAAAGGCAGAAGAGGAGAGCTGAGACCGATTTCTTTTTTTTTGCTGTATGAAAATTTGGTATATTCTTAAGGAAGAATGGAGCATCCTGAAAAACTCTGAAAAAGGCAGCAAACACAAGATGACTTCAATCTCTACTGACATATAACTGATTTTAGCAAAAGGAGTAAGACCAGCAGCTGTTTTAAAGTAAGGACATAAAAATTATAAGGTCAAAACTATGCAACTGCTAAGTCCCAAGTGTTTGGCAGAGGGGAAAAACCCAATGTCAACGAAAAATTACACTATCTGAGCTTCTAAAGTTTGCATCATTCTTGTTCAGTGTACTGTGGTACACTTTATCTTCTAGCAATTCTACCAGGCAAACCTCACTTTCCAAAGTGAGAAAAAGGGTCACCCCTAAGGCCAAAAAAAAATAAAAAGAAAATTAAATTAATATGCAAACTTATGCAAAGTTACTAAAAATATCAGTGAATTAAAAAAAAAAAATAATTACATAACAAAATGCAGATCCACACTCAAAGAAAATACGAATTAGTAAAAACAAACCATAAAGCAGCATTTTATATCTTATTTATCTCTAAATTTCATAGAGTGTACACTTCTTCTCTGGAGACTATCCAACTGCCCAACATGTTCATAACAGAATGATTTCTTTGAAAATGTTGCCACTTCAAAGCTGTAACGGGCTGCTCTGTTTCATTAATATTAGGAAGCCTTATAAGAAGGCAATACAGCACTATGACTGACTGAAGGAATAAATAAAAGAATAAAGCACCCAGCTGAGATGTCACCAAAATTCCCCACAAAGACCACACCAGATTATTAATACCACCTACATTCCCTGTGCTGCCTAAAGGCTACAAACAGGCTGAAGTTTTTATGCCCTACCAACACTTCATGGTGAACAGAAGACACAGTATGTATGAGAAACTAACAGGACACCTACAAAATGGTTTCCACAAAATTGGATATGCACATAGAAACATTTAGGAAAATTATCAGTGAAGGTGATTCCACACCCTAATTACTAACAAATTGTATGAAGCCATGTATTGTTCTCATTCATAATTCTGCAAATCATGATAGCTATACATTTGTTTAAAAAACAATCTCATATTTACTTGCAAAAAAACACTGAATATGTAACAGTACTATAAGACAGCTACTTCTGTTAGTTCTTCTAGATATTAAGGCCATGAAGTTTTGTACTATATCTCTGTTTTGTAAGAACAAGAAATAATTTTGGTGAAGAAATGAAGCCAGGATTCCTCAAACACTGCACCTCAGTATTTCCCCTCATATTCCCTTGAGGAGGAAGTTTAATATGGTTAAGTGTTACATCTGCTCTCTAATGAAAAAGCCACTGTTCCCCTTTGTATCTACAGGAAACAATTCAGTCTTAAACCTTGATGTAGCATACTACACTAACCCAACTCTCTTTCCTGCAGTAGGATTTCAGACGCACACAGTGAGTACGTAGGAATAGCGAGAGAAGAATAAGTGATGGGCACTGATCAACATCTGGACTGCAAGACAGTTTAGCTGTGATATCATTCTTGACATCGTCTGTTGGGTAGCTAGTACAAATGTATGACTTTCAGGTTGACACAGTGACTTAATATGTACTAAGAAAAAAACCCTGTATGATGATAATGGTCACAGACTAACATCTCAGTTCAATAACTGGAATACAATCCCCAAGTTAAGATAAAAATCTCTCCTGAACTTGAAAGAGTAGTGCTTCAAAAAACACAAGGATGGCTCCAAACTGCCATCCAGTTTATCTATAATTAACCCAACTACAGTAGTTACGGTTTCATCTTGTTTGCTTAAACCAGAAAATAAACCAATGGGAAATGACCTCCTCCTCTAGTAAAAACGTGAGTGTTTTCTTCTCTCAATCTCTCCCCCCTTCAGACAGACTGCATTGCAAATCTTTAGTGATCCTCTTACTCAATATGGGTAGAAAAATTAACTGTAGTTACAGTTAATGCTGCAACTCTTCAGTATTTTTTGCAAACATTTGAAATTAACCAATCTAAAGTGTCATAAAAGTTGCAAGATATCATACTACTCTATAACAAACCCTTTTCTCCTATACAAAAAAAATACAATTACTGCTTGGTTAAAACCCATACAGATTTCGGGACTTCATAGGAGGATCTATCCAGCTAGTTACTCTCCATTTAAAAATATAGTTAGCAATGGAAATAACTCTCCTAAGTAATTCCCAGTGACTGATCTCAAACCAGGCTGAGTGTGACATCTTCATAAGGGGTTCTTCTTTAAGCTACTGGATCAAGTCCACAAGTTTCCGAGTTAGAAACCAGGAAAGAATGTACTCTCATTTACTCTCTCTTTTGCAGAATATGGTCTTTTCCTATCATCCAAAACCAAGGCAGTATTTTACCTCTCCTCTACTCCCCTGTCCCCAAATACCCTTCCTCTGGTTTAGAGAAGATCAGAAAACACAGAAGGCATCTAGAGGAAAGAAATGGCTTGAGTTGGAGAGAGGGAAGAAATATCTCTTACTGAAAAACCTTTCTTCCTTAAGAACACAAAAAACCCGGACAAATTGGAGTATCTCAGATTCTTGCAGACTAGAGAGTTTATTAGTATTAAACACTGTATTGACTTTAATACAATTGCTTTACAAGTTACTGCGATTCATTGTATTTGGATAATATTGGTAGCATGTTTGTTTTACCTTCTGGAGGCCTGTTAGATGTTGCCACAACGACAACCCCATTTTGGAACAGATTTTCAAAAAGCTGCTTCAGAATCATGGCATCAGCAATGTCAGTGACCTGTAGAAGACAACACATTTGTTTTGTCTTGCTTTCAGCTTCTGCCGCAATAATCTGCAAGTGGCTTTGTAGCTAGGAAAAACGCTTGTTAGTGAAAGCCATGGAGAAAGATTCTAATTATTGCTTGGTGAGAAAAAATAAAAGGGATAATTAATAAGCAGTGAATGCACCCCAGTCTTTCAAAACTTGCCCGCTCTTTATTGCGGAACTCCACCATTTCTTTACCAATTGCTAAATGATTCCATGTTAACTTCTATTATAAAACTACAGGTGGGAGACAGAGAAAACAGATCTAAACATTTAAGAGGCCTAATTAATTAAAAACAACATGAAAAAACTGAACACAGAAAGAAAATACACACCGGCTGTTTTACATTTCTATTACCTTTGAGGCAAAGGTTTGCAGAGGTGAATTTAAATGGTCATGGGACTTCAGAAAAAAAGACAAGTAGCCAACTATACATAATCAGCTGCTGTTGAAAATAGAATGATATGACATAGATACTATTGTGTGATTGTTGCAAAAAACAATTCAACAGATGGCCCATCACAAAAATAAGCAATTTCATTGTTCTTTTTAAGTGCCTTCTATTACTGTCCATGAATAATCAAAAGGCAGGCAGTCACTTCCAGCACAGTCAGCCTCTTCTAACCTTCAGGCACAAAACACGAAGGAAAAGGAAAAAAAAAAAATAAAAATGGGTGTGACAAGTGATACTGGGGGGGGGGAGGGGAAGGAGAGAATAAGATGACTAAAAATCAGCCATGAAGTGAAATTTCTTTCAATATCTAAGTTTAGCTTAAAGAACCTGCTTTACAGTACCAAGAAATTAAAAGAAACCAAAACCACTCAGTACTAATGAAAATATAAATAAATAAATAAATAAATAAATACATACAATCTCTGAAAATCCCATTGTTACAACAGCAACTTATATTTTACAGGAGTTCACCGGCTGAGATCAGCAACATTAAGTAAGCCATTTCTATTACTGTTACACTTGTTTCACCCGCATTCCCTCTGACTACAATCTAGACACTTGTTGCATTTTGACTTACCAAAACAGACCCCAGTTCTGTGGAAATAAAACACTGGTGGCATCCTGAGAGCTATATACACTCATTACCGAACAGACAGGCTGCTATGCTTTCACCAGTTTACATGTGTATGTTGCGATAGTAATACACCTACAGGAAGACTATTTAACCCAGGGTAATTTTTAACCCTACTCCCCATTTCTAAAGATCTTTTTGGGCAGCAGAAAAACCATAAATTAATTCTACACTAAAGACAGTAAAAGACTTGGGTTAAATTTGACAGCTAGTTTGGAAGCAATAATGTTCATAAGGAACTATATGTAAACACCTGTTCATGCAAAGATTTCTTCCAATTAGTTCCATGGAATAAATTAATATGGATTATATTTTCTTTTTCAAAACCAAACTTTTACACAACCAGTAACACACCCCTCAGATTTGCACATCTGTGATCAGATCCAACATTCCAAAAAGCATGTCATAGTTCACTATTATAGTGTATGTCTAATATATCTGCTTATAATTTAATTCTTCTGAATGCTAAAATTTAGAACTCCCCCTGTTCCTAGAAAACAAGACACACAAGGAATCAGTATACAGGCGCACTGTAGGGGTAACCAGATTTCTTGTATCACAAAGAAAAGCTAATAACCAGGTTCTAAAAATTTACTCTGCAAACTATGCTGTTCAAAACTTTTTTGTTTAAAAATCCTATAAAGCATGCTACCCTTAGAAAATAGGTAGGGAAAGAATATTAGTCCTCACATGAAAGAAAAGCATTAATAACATTCTCTTATTAACTAGAACTGCAACTTGATGTGGAATTCTGATGTTTTCAATGTCATTAAAAAAAACAAAATTCTCCAAAGTTACATCAAAAAGCCAGAGCCATTTTCAGACCTGGGATCCAAATATGAGCTCTTGTTTCTCATACAGCTTGGGAAAGACAGAAAATTTCTACAAAGTAAAGAAGGTAGAAGACAGTAACTAAAGTATTGTCATGTCTCATGTTTTTTACTGTATCCAGCATTCATTACAAGACAGAATAAAAGCAGAGGCTACAAATTACCAATAAGGAGAGCCTGCTAATGGAGAGAATGGAGACATTTCATTAGCATTTAAGAGAAAAGATTTTTTCTGACCTAGTGCTGCTTTCCCATTATGACTCATGTTAAAAAAAAAAAAAAGGAAAAAATAATTAAAAAATAAAAAAGTGAAAAACCCACTAGACTAATAGTTAATTTACATGTGTAAGTGCCTGAGACTCAGTCAGCCACTGATTGGTACAGATCCACGCAATGAATGACAAACATGAGCATGTATTACAAGCAATTAGTATTAGCACAAAAATAAGAGACTAATTTTTATTAGAATCTTTTAATAGCATGCAGGTTAGTAAAAACTCCCTAAATTGTAATTTGCTTCAAGTCTAAGTGGTACTGATGATATATAAAGACTTAGACTGTATATCCTTCAGCATACCAAAAAGTAGGGATTCTGTTTTCATTATCAATAAAACGAACACAGGGTAGAGTCACACACTGAAATTAGAGCTTCTAATTATCTGTGTATAGTTATTTGATAGCTAAACAATAACTAGGCCAACCTCTGTGTTCTGAAAACTTAAAATTAGAATTAAAAATGGCTTAAATTCTATGGGTTTTTTTCTACAAAATGAGGACACATTTTTAGAATGGCATAAGACTTTTTGATTTAAAAAAATACTTTCATATTTACAATAAACTGTATGGCAAAGATCAGTAATAAGTAGCAATGCTTTAATAATGTGACAGCCTGTGGGTTAGGCAAATGCTGCCAAAATACCTGCTTCAGAAAGGACAAACTCAGAAGCTTAGTGCCATCCCACAGTATTTGCAGAAAGAAACACTTCAGAAATATTTGGGTGGGGTTTTAATACAATATTTTGGAAAACAAAACACTACTTTTAAAACTACCAAAACATCTTTCTATGGCAATTCACCAAATCTCCACTTGTTCAACAGTCCTCCAGACTTCACAAGAAGATTCACTTCAGAGTACTTCTGTTTAGCTTTAGCCCACTGTCAAAGAGGAATGTGCAACCTCAGCAATGCTTTTGTCTTCTGAAGTTCTGCATTCTGTTTCCTCTGGAATATGAACATTAACAATACTCTTTGCTGTCCCTGTCACAATATCATTCATCCATGTGCCTGATCTCAAGACAAACAAACAAACTGATTTTTTCAGCTCTTTTTTTTTTTTCCAAACAGGTACTTAAAAGCAGCCTGAAGGGTTTAAAGCAAATCTCAATCATTTTCTGACCTGCCCTCTACACCACAAGTGTTTTGTCGAAGTCATAGAGACACAGCTTGATTCCCACCTGTCAAAACAGCAGCTTAGCCTGCAAGTTAAAGCAGTGATGTTCTGAGTCTCCAACTCCTTACAGTTTTCTTTTAATCTAATTCTTTAAATCTGAGTACTGAATATTGCAGTGAAACGTAGCCATTATCTCCATGGGGGAAATGAGCTGCAAACGTCCTGAATTAGATTCGGCTCCTTATTATCAATGTTAACTGTGCAACCATGTGAGCTGGTTTTCCAGTCACTGCACTACCTTATGGCTATTTACACAGAAAGTTTCCCAGAAAGCAGAAAGAATCCCAAATTCAGTGCTTTCTGCAAAATTTCAGAAAGCTGGGACTGCTCTTCAGCAGGCAAAGCCTGCATAGTGTTCCATGCTACAGAAAACCTGTCAAGAAATTTAGCTGTTCAGAAATCCGTTAATTTAGAACATTATTACACCCAGAACAAGTAGATTTTAAATATTCACATAAGAATACTAAGTCTAAGATACATATTTTAGAGAACAGTTCTTTTTCAGCTGTGACACATGCAAAAACACAGGCGATTTTTACAACTGAAGTGACTGATGTACCTCAAGCAAGTCAGCAGAGGGAGCAGGCAACCAATTTGGAATCACAAAATACCAGAGCCTCTTCCCCTTAAAATGTAGGCACATGACAGTCTGGAGACACAGCAACACCAGGGAAGGAAAGCAGCGGGCATTTATACATAAAACTAGGTACCTACACTAACACATGGTACAGCAAAGATGCCTCCATCTACCACCTGAATATCTGATGTCATGACAGTTAACACTCTTCCCTGCCCTCTCCAAACTTTCCTATTTCTTTGCAGCGTAAATACAATGGTCTCTGTAGTTAGATTTTAATCTGCAAATTTTGGAAGCCTGGCATTCATATTCACTAGATAAAGTACAATTTAAATGATCAAGCATCTCCTCACAATCTGAAACCTTAGATCAAAGGACTACCCCTTTGTTGAAAAACACAGGAGTCACTTGAAACAAGAATATCTACTTCTTTACAGCTATAAAAATCCTCATCATGGGAGCTGATCATAAAATGGTTATTTTCTCAGGTGCACAGGCATGTAAAATAATAGCTAGGAGATATAAATTGCTCTGCCCATTTCAGTAATGTATTAATTTAATAGCATAACACAGACGATTCACAGTTGGTGATTTGAGAACTAACACAGGTCTGGTTTTATCTTGCTCTGCATTTTCTCTCTGAATTAAAAAAAACATTTCAGCTGATGAGTGATACCTAATACCTCTTTAACCTCTCTCCTAAAAATTTTATAAAGCAATTTTTACACCTAAATTTGTGACATGCCCTTATAACACAATTCACAAGCTGTGCAAAACAAATAAAAAAAAAAACAGCTTGGGCAAAGATCATTTTATGAGTTTATTTTTAAACTTCACATGTAATTCAATAAAAGTCTCTTACAATGTTAGCTATGTTGATATAATCTGGCACTGCCATGCCAAAGGCTCCAATGAATCTAGGAAAGAATTTAGGCTGAATTTGACATTTTATTCCCGCATCCTTAATCACACTGAGACAATTTTGTTGCACTATATGAACTACAGCAAAGACCAGACATGCCGAGCAAATATCGGGCAGCTACTTCCCTGGGCACCGTACAGGCTGAGTACAGTATGATGGTTCCTGTCCTGGAATACTCATAAGCCTCTCACCAAACTCTAATACCCACTTGTATGACCAGTAAGTAGACTGGTAAACGAAAGCACTATGAGGGCACTTATACCACCAATTTACATCTTATCTCCTGGAAAAAAAAACAACCAAATAAACCAACACCATCTTCAAAACTGTGAAGTGACTTCTATAGTTCACTACTGGTCAGTGACTCAAATACCATATTAGCAGTAACAAGTGTCATATTTTAAGCTCAAAAGTAATTTTATGAAGTTTCCCTCGAAGTGAAGGAACAACCTCTGATTTCTTACCTGAAATTCATCAAAACATAAAAGAGCAGCCTCTTCACTTATCTCCTCTGCTACTGGAGCAATTGGGTCATATGATTTGGCCATAAATCCTGCTTTTCTTTTTGGCAAGCTCTGCTTAAGGCGATGTATTCCTGAGTTAATAAAACAGACAAATATTTCTTATTTCATTTTCTAAGGCAGGGAAAAAAAATTATTTAGCTGCTAAATAAAAAGTAGCCTAGTCCAGTAAAAATAGGAATGCTTCAAATTTAGGCCAATTTCAAGAGAAGAAAACAGTCTTCAACCACAACCAGGTAACAATTAAAAGGTCACGTAATCCTGTGATTTGTATTTTCTTCTTTAGAAGAATATGAAACAAAAAAGAACCTTTTTATGCTATACTTCATCTTTTAAAAACTGATATAAATTACAGTTTTATCTTGCCCCAATTCATGACCTTAGTTTCAGTTTCACTTTGTAATTTGGCATCTTCTGTATTAACTTTCTCTCAGTGAAGAACCCTTACAGTGTTTACAAAACAATGGCACAGCTCTGTGCACTGCATGCTCTGAAGATATACTTAGAATGCATTCAGTTAAAAAACACTCAGACATAGCAACACAGTTATAATGTAAAGAAGATAATACTGGCACAAAGTATGATTATTACATCCATACTTCACTGTCTCACGGATTGTATTCCATCTGACTATAAACAAACATTTGGAAAACAAAGATCCTGCACTAAGAAGCTACCTTTATTAAGATTAAGCATAAATGACAAGAAATGGAAACAGAAAATCTCAACAGTAATCCAACAATGATATTAAAGTGGGCAGTAAATGTGGCAGAAATTGTTTACACTTCCCAAGAAAAATGTAACTGTCACAACACCTCTAAATTACAGCATTATTTAACAATTTCACAGCATTTTAAAGTCAGAGAATTTAAAGAGCCAAATTTTAAAATATCTCAGTCAAAATGAAGCACCTTATTCACCTTGCCAGAAATTTTTCCTGAAACTAAAGATGAACTTCCTTCGACTATTTTTCCCTCTAAATTACTGATAGTATTACTAAGTTTACCAACCAGAACAGCTCTCATTCACCCGTGCATTTACACCTGCTTTAGTTACTGCTTATTCAAAATGCTGACTGAATTTAACCTTTACTGTTTCAGTTTTAGCAATTGCCTTCTTTGGATTGCATGGAAGCTAACTGGTAACTGGAAAACTTTTAGTTAAGGTTTTAATCCTAAATATACACACAAATTTTCTATACAATCAAGTATAAAGAAATCTTTAAGAAAAGATACTTGAGAAATAATATGCAATTAATATCTACTCTGATGTAACAGACAATGCTAAAATCCTTCAATTTCTCTATTTTTTACTTTTTTTGCTTAAATACTTAAATAAAGTTATGATGATTAATATGAATATGAGAATGAGACATACTTTTTTATAAATACTGTATTTCATAAAATTCTCATAAATACCTGTGTCTGCACTTACTCTGATGTACATCTAGCATGAAGCCATGAAAATGGACTCTCTTTTTCTTTTCTATTTCTAAGTGAGAATAGAACATGTCCATCACCATTGTCTTTCCTGTGCCTTCAAATAAAAAACAATCAAAAAAGAAAAACCCCAACAGGTAGTCAATTTAAGAACAGTATGTACTGATTACAATAATGATTGTTCATTAGCTTTGAACTAATGAAATTATACACTTCTACAGAATAAAGTACAAGCCCAGACTGTTTGTGAAGAACAGTTATATTTTCTGTTCAAAAACTTGGAACAACTTCATTTTTCTTTTTCTGTTTTAAAACTTTGATCCATAAAGAGATAGCCCAAAGGTCACACAAAAGGCTCCGTACACATCTAGGAAACAGCCTTAGTATTTTCTTCTGAAACACCAGTATGTTTTAATGCTGAACTGTTGCAATTAGAATATATAAATTCTCTCAGTGGCCCCCTCAATCACTTACCAAATTGTTATATTGCATTCTTAAGTATTAGTAAAGCTGAAAAAAAATACATGCAGTAACCCAGTCAAATCCAACAGTTTACAGCATCAGAGCGTAACTGTATGAAATAACATCATAATGTGGAAGAACACTAATCCTGGAAAATTCATTAAAGCAATAATGCTACATAAGCATAAAGCTTTTAGACACTTCAGAAATTGAATAAACATGCATTTCAAGAAAATTCTATTGGAACTAATGAAACTGAAACTTACCAACATCTCCATAGACATAAAGACCTTTTGGGGGGGTGTTTTTTGCAAAGAACTGGAAATCGAGAGGAGAAAGAATAAATATGAATATGGCATAAAATAAAAGCAAGGACATTGCTGTGGGGAAAAAAAAGTAGCTACACTTAACTACCAAAGTAGCACTGGCTAGCAAAGCATAACCTTGAATAAATCATCAGCTCAGGACTGGTAACCAATCTGAACATTATATTTGTGCAAATTCTGTAAAAGAAGCCAAACACACACGCAGGGGCTGGGTTGGGTTTGTTTTGTTCAGGTCATTGTTGAAATATCCCCATCCCCAGTCCTAGCACATACGCCTTTTACTGCAACACATATAAAAAGATTAAATGTATCCAATACATCATCAATCATCAAAACAAATCCTTTTCTTCATGAAGCCATTTGAGCAGTCAGCCCTAGAAAAAAGGATAGAAAATCAAGCAGTATTGTAGTATTCATAGATACATACACTATACAGTTATTAAAACAGCTCTTTTTAAGATATAAACCATTAGGAATTAGAAAATCACTATTGCAAAGCCGGTGCGCATTGTAGGTCCCTTTTCTCTCCACTCTGAATCTTAAATGCAGAATTATCTCTAGTTTAAACATGATTAAAATCAATGGAGTCACAATAAAAATATGTACCTAATTTATTAATTTCTTTTCTGAGTTATGTTTATCTTGAATGAATACTGCTTAAGAATTTTTAGTCTCTTAATATGACTCAGGACATAAATTATGACACCTGTTGGTTTGTTCTATTTTATTCAAACTTGTATTTTTATAGCAAAACTTGAAATAACATCAAGACTTTACATTTGAAACAGTCCACCCCCACCCCCGTACTGTGTATAGCCACTTCCAAGTATAATTCTAATAAGAAACAGCTTCTAAAAAACTGGAAATCTTAACAAAATTCTCATCAAATCCATGAAAGCAAATAGATATCCACAAAAAGCACTGCAGAAGAGTATGTGGTTGTTTTAAAGTGCTCCACTTTCAGAGTTCTATGAGCTGAGCCAAAACAGAGGAAAATTAAAATTGCAGCTCTGTGGTCTCATTTGGAGCTGGGTAATTGCTAAACAACTTGAATCTAAAGCACTTTTCAAAATACAGTGCCATGTTAAAGAAATGGGAGAGTCAGTAGCAAAACACCAATTAAACATGAAAGAAAATATATGACCAAAGGCAGAAGGATATTTAATACCAGTTTATTCAGAAAATACGTAAGCATAGCTGTTATATAAGACCCACTTACAGATTTAATTTAGAGTTATATTGGTTGGATTATCAAAAATCTGTGTCATCAATCTGTGGCTGAACAGGGATTCAGAATGTCTGAAACCATTCCATTAATAGACAAGGCTGCAACTATTTGCTAGTGCCCCAAAAGCACTGCAAGGCAACTTGACAAAACATTTTTCAGTGGGTACTTTTTAAGAGTTTGCACTCATTAAAACTACTGATGCTCAAAGTTACACAGAGAAGAAAAGAAAAATAGAAAAATATTAAAATGAGATGTCTGTAAGAATTTATTTCTTTTTAAATTGAGACTAACAATCATTATAACAAGACTACCACATTAAAGGTATTACCTAAAAACACTGTATATTAATGTGATTAGCAGTTTCACAAGGAATGACAATAAAACTGGAAAACAAATCAATGTTTAGATTACTGCTTTACCTCTCTTTGTAGAAGTTATAGAACCAGAACAAGTATTAATGCCTCCATTTTTACACAATTTTATTAATTGCAAAGTGTTTATTTATTAAATTGACATTTGCCTTTTTACGCATATTTTATTACTCCATTTCTAGAAAACGTGCTACAGAAAAAGTGTTGGGTTTTTTTTTGTTTAAAGGAAACAATTACAATGTCTGATTTCTGTAACAGTCAACTTCTGGTTGATTTAATAAATTGATTTTTTTTTTTCCTGTGAAGACAGCAATTTTTGAGAGATATTTGTTGGTAAAAATAAATGGATGGATACAGTGGCAGACCCAAACAAACTTGCTGAAGCTGATCATTTCCAAACACAAATCAAATGCCAGAAAAACTCTTACCCTCTTTGAGCAACTAAAAAAGTTTCTTTTACATGTACTTCTGTCAGAAGTGACACTGTTGACACCTTTAGATACCCACTTCCTAAATCCTGTCAGGTATAACACTAACTATTTCTAATTTTGGGTTGTTTTTTGTTTTGATGGAGGTTTTTTTATGTTGGTTGGTTGGTTTTGGTTTTGATTTTAAAAATAATTAATTTTAAAAAGTAAACTCCATCAGTGGATTTTTAATACTGAAACTCAGACATCCTACCAGTTTCAAGCTATTCTGCAGGATCATAAAATGGATTATTTACTATTATTTATTTTTTAATTATTCTCATGCACCTTCTGAAGCCTGAAAGTTGCATAAGAAAAAGAGCAACTTTCACTAGGATTTCTGATAAAATCCAGACAATGCCCTTGGTTCAACTTAAAGCACAGCAAGCAGACAAGAAAGTCAATGGTACGTGGGGGTGAAGAAAGCAGATGACTGATCTTGGTTTCACTGAAACACATACTCCAAAAGAAGAAAGTGGGGGGAGATCTAACACAGAAGATCCTCCAGTTACCCTAAAATAAGGCCAAACTTACTTATTTCAGGAAGGGAAGGGATGAAAGTGGAAGATGTAGGAAGACAAACTAAATAAATGAGCTCCTCCTTGCTCCTCACTTCCATGTTATCCTAAGGTGTATTTGGAGCCTCAGGATAACAATGTTCAATGGGTTCACAATAGATTTGCTTTTGCAACAATGGTAAGATTTTAAGATGCTAAAGCTAATACTTGAAATGTACAAAAGATATTAAAGAATGAACAAAAATTCTGTTTGAAGGGGAAAATTCTGAAATCCTTATATGTGTATTTTGAACAGCCACCACATCCTTTCAAATGAGGGCACCACCACACATGTAAAATCCCTTGAGCCTTCCAAGTTTCTTAATTCCTGTAACATTTTTTATCCCACACTAATTTAAGACAGCGTAACTTAAGTGCTTCAGCAAGTTTCATTATCATCAGGACATGCTACATACAGCAGGAGCTCTTTTACAGATCAGTTGACTTGCACACTTTTCTTTGAAAATCATTCATGTGCTAAAACATTTACAATTCCACAAGTTGATACACACACAAGTGTCCCCAGATTTACAGAATTCTCTCCTCTACTATCAAAATGGTTTTGCACACTTCTGTTTCAAAACTGCATGTCGTGCTTTGATTCTACTGCATCAGATTTTTCTTTTTTCTATTTAAACTGCACTTTAATCAATCAATGTCCTACCTCATCTAAGGAATTATTCTGGTCAAAATATCTCCTTCATTCTGACAACTTCTTATTCTTTACTAAATATATTTAACAATGTGCAGTGTTTTCCCACCTTCTCCCATGCTCATTACCTCAGACACCAGAAGCAAGCAACTTATTTCCTGGAAACATTTAAACTTTGATTTGAAAAACTTTCAATTAAAAACACATACCAATACTAAGATGGTTAATTAAAATAAGCAAAATTCAAGAGACGAGCCTCCAAACAGCAGATATTTTTTTTTTTAACACTAACAAAACTGCCTCTTTTTCCCACTTTTCAGGCCTCCTTTTTGGTTGCTGTTGTAGCTGAAGACATTTTCAAGGTCTTGAATGGTGTTTACTATTGTTCATACCGCTTTTGAAAACATGACCTCACTTATAATTGAGCTTATTTCAAGTCATTAGTACAGCAACTCAACAACTCTTAAGATGTCCCAATTGGTATTATTTTGAAAAGCTAGAGATCTGAAATGACTATGCAAACTCTTTTAGCCTTGAACTTCAATTCAGAGGATCTCAAAATATCTCAATATAAAAGGCCATGCTTTCACCAAGCTCAAGATCAAAGTCATTGTTCAAATTTCAGTAATTCTGAAAAACAGAAGCCTACTTGGTTTGCAGCAAGACTAATTGTTTTTTCTACTCAAATTCATCCTATGCTGATGCCCCAGAAAATCTACATCATAAAAAAACAGAGAGTTTTACTATCATAAAGGAAACGGCTGGTGTGGTGTCATCCCTGTCATATCCTGTCCCGTCCTGCCCCAGACTACTGATTACAGAGAGCTTTGCCCTGGGAGGTAATGCAAGTCTCTTACACAAACACTGAAATGTTTCCATTTTACCTGATAAAAGTATTTGTTCCCTAATCCTACTTCTACCATATTTTTATTGAATAAAACTATTTAGATAGAAAGTGACAAATTAAGAACAGAACTAAAACCAAAGCAGACCATTCTTGTAATAGTTCAGAAATTTCTATTTCTGGAATAACTATTACTTAGGAAGAGGCTTCTGCAAATGTATCATAAAAGAAATCAGGCAATAAAATAAGGAATATCAGACTACAGAAGAGGCTTTTCTCCCTTTTTCTTTCCCCTTTTCTTCACTGCAACTTCTCAACCACATTCTTTTCAGGTACAGAGACAGGAAAAATAAGCATGCCTGAAATGCCAAGCACCGCTATTTTTTTATTTCTAAAAAGCTGTCAGTAGATTCTTTTCAACGCAGGAGATTTTGTATTTAAATTAGGTTAACCAGGCTACTAGAAACCTGAAAAAGCAGAAAGTCAATCTACAAATTCTTATGTGTAACTGACTGAAGTGTTTGACTTATTTCCAAAAAATCCTTAAGTAATTTACATCAGGTTAATTTCAAGCTATTAAAACTCATTAAGTACAAAACATTAAGCAAAACCAATGTCAATCATTTTTTTCATAAAAACAATTGAACACCTATAGCATAAGGTTTATCTTTTACTTCCCAGCATATTCAAAGTTTCAAAGTAGCATGCCTTCATGGGAGGAGAGTTACAACACTACTCACTAATACAGGATATACCTGCACCCTGTTATCATTAGTACTTCCTGGAGATGCTTTGCTAATTACAGGAACTCCTTCCACTCAAAAGCCTACACAAATCCTGTTCAACCCAGGCCAGTTCCAGAGAGCACTACCCACCACCTCTTCTTGGCACAAAAAGCCTTTAGTTCTAATCTTCAAAACTGAACCAAGCCTGCAGCAGCATCCCTACCCTGAAAGTCTACCACAGCAAAACATATATTTTGCTTACTTAGAAAACTTGATAGATACAGATATATGATAAACATGATGCCACTGTCTACAGCTGATACAGTGCTAGATGCCTATGATTTTGCCAAGTACCTAGTCACAGCTGTGACTGATTCTGGGAAAGACTTTCATTAAAGATGTTCATTACAACTTTGCTGAAGCAAAACTTGGCCTGTACTAAAATTTAAATTATATTTATTTGGCTTCATTTCACATAAAGAGGGACTCTTGTTTGAACGAGCAAATAACTTCCTCAAAGACATCAGAAGAGAAAAAATGGTTGCAACTTCTCCTTCATCATTAATCACAATTTGATTTAATTACACAAGCTAGCAGGCTTTAAAAGATTTACACAAATCTCACTGCTCTCCTCCTTTTCTGGGGTTTTGATACATGGCACAGCACTATAGTGTTCAACCTGGTTATCAGTCTTCTTAAGGTTTATACAGCGATATCAATCTGTAACAGAAAAACCTCAAAATGCAGTAACACTTATCTCAATAGCAAGTAGTTCTACAGCTGCTTCTCACAAAGTGTGGCATTAGTTCCCAGGTATTGGTGAGCTATGCAGCAATTTTTAAAGGCTGGTTTAAAAATAAAGCATGGAATTGAAGCAGTGTTAAATGAGAGCACCATTCTCAGGAAAGTGAGGAGCGCTTTAAAGAAACTAGGGAAAAATATATTCTCAACCTAAAGAATGGCATTTGACTTCTCCCCTCAACAAAGTGTCAGTCTGGCTTTACTGCAATTAGCTGTGTTATACAGGGACAAAGTAGCATCATGATTTCCTAAATAGAATACGATTAGTATTTGTTCTCTGCAATAGAGGCTTTCCTCCCTATTCATGCTTTGCAATCAAAGAAACAGTAAATAAAAAACCTACATAATGCTTTATCTACAAAGCTATTACTAGACAACTGCTCTAACAACTATAATGATTCAGGGCACTCCAGTTAACATAAGTCAGCTCTCAAAACTATTCTCAAAGACAGCACTCTTAGAACAGACTATCTATATGTCCAAAACAATTTACCAGAGAAGATCAAAATGCTCTAGCCTTTGATAGTAAAACCAGCACCTTCATCGTAACTTTTTTTTCTAAAGAATGAAAACGAGTAAAGTCTGGCAGTATGTCCAAAAGATAATGCTTTTTCTCATACCAATGTTCTTTACTCCACTTCTTTTTTTCACGCCTTGAAGCCAAGATTATATATTATAATATAGCATAAAGGGCAGAGGACAGCATTTATGTAAACGGACAGAGTACCTCCATTTAGAGGCACTTGAGCCCTGTAGCTCTGGCTTTCATGATCTCATGCTTCATCATTTAGGCTTGCCATGCAAACAAAATACAGTATCTGTGCTAGGTATAGGACATTTTGGGGTTGTAATAGGAAATGTATGGGTAGGTAACAAGTTGAGTAGAGTTGTTTAGATTTACGCCCATGAGATGAGGTGTGTTGCATAACTGATGCTGAGAAAGGCTGACAAGGAGATTTATAAGCAAGCCCTGTAGCTGACAGCATGCGTTGACTGTAAATGTGAAAATTACTCCTGATGAAAAATAAAAACAAAAGTGGGGCAAGAGAAAGAGAGAAAGAAAAAGGAAAACACCCAGTGGTGGACTGGGAAGAGCAATGACAGCTTCTGTACATCCTTCCCTTAGGGATAGGATGGCAAATCTCCAGTGCAGACAGGGAAAGTAAAGATGACGATGGCAAAGAATATTTTGCCATGCTTTTTTCTCAGCACTATACTTTTATTAGACTTAGTCGAACACCCTGTTCTTGTTGTTTCCCCTCACCATGTTCGCCATAAAATATTTATGCTGACTGGAGTGTTACTAAGGTGCGAATGAAGCATATTCACAGGTTATTCAGCTTCTGTGCATGTCTATAATTGAATAAAATTTACCAAGTAATGAAATGTCTTATCTGCTTTGCTGGGCACTGTGTTTGGTTTTCTGGGATATAAACTCAAATCTACAAAACAAGAGGCAAGGAAAGCTGAGGGTTGATTCTCACACCAGTTCTAGATGCTTCCCATGAGAACCTGTCATAACAATGCTATCAATATTTGCAGCTGCAAGGCCACAACAGCAACAATCTGAGAATAAAGGCATGAGGACAAGACATGAAAAACACTGCTACACAGGCTCTGGAAAACGTTTCCTCAGCAGCTTCAGGGGAAAGTTACAGAGGTGCAACAGCAGGCTATCACCATGACTAATGCTAAGGAACTAGAGCTGCTAAGGCACTAGAGCTGCTAAGGCACTAGAGCTGCTAAGGCACTGAGCAAAACGGGTATGTCTTAATTTCTGTTAATCCATTGAAAAGGAGCCGTGATGTTACCAAAAATACAACTGGGGTGCAGATCACACCTCTGCCTTCTTTCCTTACCTCACCTGGAGACTAACAACACTGGAAAATACAGACTTTTTTAAAAATAGTCATATCTGATTGATATTATTATGTTTTGCAAAGCTAAAATTATTTAGACTCTGCTGGCTAATTTCATTTGTGGAAGATCTGTTAGAACACAAAATATTAGCATTCAGTACATGTAACCAAAATACATGTGTTATACACAGTCTAGTCCCTCTCTCCTGCAGACAAATGACATTTTTTGAAAGGCAGGCAGTGGACATAAACTAAACCGTATCAGATTTTCTTACACAATTATTTCAATAATATTTAATGGGGTTACTTCTAGAGTGCCACTGGAATTTTACAAACCAAAAAAGGAAAGAACAGAGATCCAAACATGAAGAATGAGCTACCTGTAAAGACTCAGCTGCAAAAATACGATCCATGTTAATTACAGAAATTTCTGCATTGCAACCATATTCTTATGAGAAAATATAACTAAAAAAAAATTATCATTATAAACCTCACCTTTGAGAGAAGATTTTTTGAACTGATGCTGTAGCCTTTAAGGCTCTCATGCAACTTCTGCAGCTGCTGTACAACTCTTCTTTGATGCTCATCATTCTTCAGCTCTTTTTGCTTAATCAGAAAGTCATAATGTTCTAAAGGTCCACTGCAAACCAATAAGGCTCTGGCATTAGCATCTGTAGGAGTACCATGGACTGTCTTCTCACCTGCCTGATCTGCGTATGCTGCAAAATGAAAAGAAGGCAATTAATAGAAATGTTTTGAAAAGCACCCTTTTATATTCATAAATAACATACATTAACAGTTAAAGATGTATATATGTTACTTACCTATACAATCACTAAAGCACATTACCCTTTTTCACTAAATCAACTTCTAATTTCAGCAGTAAACACCACTAATAGCATGCTTTAACATTTATTTTTATTATTAACAAGCACATACACTAAAATGTCCAGCTGGAATGTTGGTAAGATTTGGATCAGAAGTTGCAAGAGAAGTTTTGATCTTTTTTCTTTTTATTTTGTTGTTTTGTTGTTTTTTTTTTCAAATTGGGACAAAACCACTAAAAAATTTCAAATTACATTTCTCTGAACAGATTAATCTGTTAAACAGAGGTGGGCTAAACTACGCAAAAAGTATTTAAAAGCCAGCAAACAGGAGAGCAAACAGGAATTCTGTAAGAAAGCTGAAATGAAAGAGTCAAAGAGCACACTAAAGCAGGCAATAGCTGTGAAGCCCCGAAATGCCACAGCCTGCTCTGCTGGCATTATCTTCTGCCTAGAAGATAAATTCTGCCCAAGGAGGAATTCTGTTTGCAAAAGAAAAAAAAAAAACAGAACTACTGGACATAAAATAAAAGGAAAGAATATACAGGATTACAAAGAAGACTTGCTACATCAGTAAAAAGCTGCTTAATGCCTTCTTTGCTTCCACTGTCAAGAATTGTAACAAAATTTGTAGCAATGATAAAAGAAATAGATTTAAGTAGGAAAAACACGTATCATAGGCTACACAGTTAGGTATTTTGAACATTGTGAGATCTAAGGAAATTTATCCTTAAATGCTTTAGGCAAGTTTCCTAAGCAATACAACAGCCTCTAACAGCTTTCTCAGAGGCCTCACTGAGGGCAGGTGAGGTTCTAGAACACTAGGAAAAGGAAGCAATCTTTGTCTTTAAAAAGGAGAGAAAGGCAAATCCAGAAGTTCGTGGGTCAGTCCATACAACTTCTAAACACTCAAAAATACCAGAACAAGTACAAGCACTTTTTTCCTTTTTTTTATAAAGCTCTTAACAAAATAACAATGTAACAAAAGGCAGCTCCTATGGAACAAAGCAACATCACGTTTTCCTCTCTGGTCAGGTAACATGCTTAGGGGGTAGAAGAAAAATTAATTGCAGTAATACTTTTGTCATCGGGTCACACAGCATTCTCATACATAAAGTAGGAAAGTAAACTGCAAATGAAATTACTTTTAAGCAGATACAAAACTTCCATACTGCAAAAGATGGGTTTTCATTTATATCTTCCTGTTTCATTATCTGATCTGTAACTCGATGTTTTGTTATCTAAACTGTTACTTGATTTTTATTAGCTACCTTCTGAAATTTTTTAAGTGTTACACATAGCCAGAAGCATCTTCTATCTCTATGTAGTGTTCCAGATATGACTATAGAAGAGCACAGTGTCAATTCATTGTCCACTTAGTCTTACAAAACAGTGTAAAACTACAGACATGCATTTATCCATAACCTATCTTTCTCACCTTCATGGTGCAGGACAGTGCTAGATGCTACCACATTTAGCCTGACACCCCCTGCTTCTCTAAAAGCTGCTACCAGGTTGTAACTTTTTCTTAAATTCCTGTTCTTAAAACATATACATTTCAGTGTAATCTCACTTTATTTCAAATAATAAAATCAGCTGCTTGTATTTGCCTTTCTGCTTACCTATGCAAGGGTCACAGACAAAGCTGCCATGAAGACCCACTGTGATTCACACAAAAAAGTCCTCCTTTAGAGAAATACAAGGGGAAAAACTCCCCAAAGAAAAAAAAAATTAAAAAATCTTAATGTATAAATACCCAATGAAAATTCCAATCTAAATTATAAAAATTTCCTTTACAATGGGGAGCTTCAGTCACCTTCAGTACACTGGCATTAGTTTACTACTGCAAAGATAAGTACCTACATAAAAATATTAAAAGTGTTCTTAATGCCAAAGACCTTCTACTTGAGAAAAGAGCAGTAAATTGAAAAACTAATCAGTATGTTGTCTGGTTTTCCTACTGCCACTTAGAAGTGATGTCTGATATGACACAGGAAAACAGCATGCGAGTTTCAATGACACCACTTATGAAAGCAAGAATCACAGCTGAGGCAGGCACTAGAGTTACTTATGTAAGAAGATACTCTGAAATGGAAGCTAGGTTGTGGCATATCAAAAACTGATCTTGACAACAGCCAGGAGGTTGAGAGCACAGAACAGTAACCAAGATAAACAGCACTCACCATGGTAACCCTTATTTTTTCTCTCGTAGTTGGATTTCTATAAGGTTTTGAATTGCAATGTCCAAAATCTGTCAGAAGATAATTCCCAAGACAAAAATCCTAGCAAGTTCTTGTCTCCCTTTACTTCAGGGCCTAGGAAAAGAAACTGGGCTTCCCTGACCTGTATTTCATCCTTGCTATCTTTCTATGACTGCAGAAACCAATACCTTTTCATTGATTGTGAGTTTTCAAGAAACACAAAAAGATTCCATGGAAATTTAAGAGGATTATTGACTTCTGGGAGAGACAAGGTATTGTACTTCCACAGATGGATTCAAATTTATCCTGTAGGATCTCTTACTGCCTTCAAACTAAACATATTTAAAATACATGATTATAATTGTAGACCTTTAATGGGGTGAAAAAAAACACGACAGATAATGTCCAGTTAAAGAAGCAAAGATCAAACAAATGGAACTGAACTCCTTTTATTGCAAAAGCAGAGTCATTCTTCAGATTACAAAATTCACCTGACTAGAGGGTCACCCACACACAGTGCACATGAAAACCTGTTGTTATCAATTCAGGAAACAAAGTTGAAACAAGCACTTCAAGGGACTAATAGGGAGAAAAATATATCACCTTTAACCATTGTGCTGCATATATGCTTCAAACCACTCCCTCATAGGAATGATCAGAAATAGTTTTCATTCATGGAGATTAAGGCTTGAAGACAACACTGACCTTTCTAAATATAAGGAAAGATAAATTTATCTAATTACCCCTGAACCACACTCAAAAATTGTGCTTGTTTACAACATACTTTGAAGAAAATCTATTCTGAAGACATAAGAGATGGAGAATTAACTGTTTCCTATGACACTCTGCTGTAATGGTTATTACTGTTTCTCTTAAAGATAAAAAGTATTTCCCATTAATAGCTGTTTGAGAACTGCATCTAAATCAAACTCTCGGAGGTTACGACTGCAAAGTTAAGAACCCTAAGTCACCCAACTGCCACCCTTGCTGACAGACACACTCAAGAAGTTGGAACAGCTTCTGCTAAGCCAATGTTAATGCAACATACAGGAATTGCATCTGGTTTATTACCACTTAGCAGACAGAATTCTGCCTTGAGAGCTTTTCACAAACACTAGACATTACTCTGAAATAAGATTACTTGTACTATTTCAGTGCACACCTCACTTAACAATCTGATGTACAAATGAAAGTAGAAGAAAAGTTTGTCAGTGAAATTGCAACTTCACACAAATACTATTTGTGAAGTCTTTTAATTAAGAAGATACAAAAGTCTAGAAAGCAAAAAGAAGGACTATAAACCAGTGATCATAAAAGCAAGATTAGAAACCAATTCACTGATGGCTGCCCACCCCTGCAGATGTCCTCAAAAAACACATGTAAGGACTATCTTCCCTTTAATATGGAAGCTGAAGCACTGCCTAAAGCCACTTGATTTGCTCTGACAACTTTTTTAAAATGGTAATATGCTGGTTACAAAAAAACAACCTATATAAAGTGCTAGACCAGTACCGCATAAAACACATACAACTATAGTACTACCTGCAGTGCTTGTCTGGATGAATAAATACTGTACAATTGCAATGTAATATGTGTACGTCCACACTTACATTTAAATCCTCCTGGATCTGCTGACTGACCTTCAGACCTCTGGCACCCACCTGACGTTAACTGAACTCTCACACATTTGTCAGCCTGGCAGAGGACGAATAGCTCTCACTAAAGAAAACAGACCTCTGCTGCTAACTTAAGCCACAAGTTAACAAAACCTAGTTACCCATAAATTTGTTTACTGTGCCGGCTGTTAAAGTACGGCTGCCAGACAGAGCTCAGCTGTTGTTACACATTGGAGGAAAGCAAAGTCCCTCAGCAGCCTGAAGCACAGCAAAAGCTCTGGCCGACCCCAGTGCACTCGCCGCCCGTCAAGGTCCCGGTGCACCCGCGGTGTAAGGCATTTAACGAGGCGGCGCGCTGCAGGTCTATTTACTGGGGGACAGCGGCATCGTTAAACCCGCATCCCCCTCCGATCCAGGGCCCCGGGGCTCACTCCCGGCACCAGCCCCGCCGCACAGCCCGGGCACGGGGGGTCCCTGTGGAACTGGCTGCGGACAGGCCGCCCCGGCCTGCCCGGCGGTCACCATGAGGACACGGTCAGGTCAGGCCAGGGCGGAGGGACCTGTGCGCGGCCCGGCCCGGTCCGATCCGACACGGCACCGGCAGTCCCCTACCCCTCAGCCCGGACCCCTCTGCCGGAGGGGAGACCCGCGGCGCGGCGGGAAGGGATGCACCGGCTACCGCGGTCGCTCCACGGCACGCTCCCTAGGCGGTGCCACTGCAACCTGTCGCTCGCCCTCCCTTCGCCCGGCTGCAAGCAGGAGAGGGCGCAGAGAAGGGCGCAGGGCAGCGCGCGGCGCAGAGACCTCGGCGCTACTGACCTCTCCGCAGGGCGGCGGCCGGCACCGGTAGCAGACGGCCGGCGCGCCGCGCCGAAGCCCGCAACAGGCAGCGCACAGTAACCAAGGGCGACATGGGCGCCGCCATCTTCCCGGCCTTTGCGGCGGGGACGCGGGGCGCGCTGGGAAATAGAGTCCCGCCACTGCCAGGGAAACGGTCGCGGTCGCTCAGAGGAGCCGGGCTTCGGGCGGTGCTGAGCGAGCAGGTCCAGTGGGGGTTCTCAGCTCCTCTCCCTCCCTTGCTCTGACCCCCGGACCGAGCCGCAGGCTGCGGGCGAGCCCCTGGGGAACCGGCCGAACTCGGCCAAGGGCCGCGCAGCCCCTCCGGCCACCCGTCGCAAACGGCACTCCAGAGGCAGACCCACCAAATGCCACATTGGTGCCGTTTATAGCACCTTACTGCCGCATCCACGAACTCAGATCTCCAAACTACGTGCTTGCCGCTTGCGATTTGTACCGTGCTGCGCCGTGGCTGTGGCCGGTGCGGCAGCCTTCAGGCCAGTTTGGCTGTCGCTGAGGAGTTTCGGCAATGAAGCTAGCATTTGTCGGTGATTTCTAACTTGTGCTGTTTATGTCTAAAAGCACAAACCACAAAATATTAAGGAAAAACATAGTTAAAATATTAAGGACAAATATTTCTGGCCAGAGTTACTACAGTGTTATCTGCACGTTAGCAGTACAACCACTTCTATGCCTATAAATACGTATCTAAACCTCAACAGCAAGAGATGTTAATATAAAAGCAGAATTCCCTGAAGGTTATGCAAAAGTCTAGGAGCTGATTCAGTCCCAGCTGTCCAGTGCATGCGTAGCACACTGTAAGCCTTGTCCTTGGCAGTATCAGTTCAGATTCCCAAGTAGAGCTCCTGAGACCTCCTCGGAAGAATGCTGGCCACCTGCCTCCTTTGGTAGATACCCAACTGTCTTATCCCACCATCTCCGCTGTGACTGTGAAGCTCTTTTGACAGGAAGGTACAAGGCAAAAAGCCTGTGCTCCAAGGGAAAGGCACTGGCACTCCTGAACCAGTAACCATAACACCTGCCTGTTTGCTGGCCAAGTGCTCCATTCCCATCAGAAATGCACCCCAAGGTCAGGATGGAGCTTCAGATGTTCCCTGCAGAGTGCACTGTGCAAGAAATAGGTAATAAAATGTCTGCTCCTGGTAAAAGCACAAAGTAAATGCTTTAACTGACTTTTACTTTTGCAATGTCAGAATTTCCATATCCTGTTCTAGCATTAAATTTCTGTGTGACATGAGAAAGCCAGCAATTCTCATAAACTATTAATCAACCTTTTTGGGGTTTTCTTAATAATGGTACAGCAAAATATTACAACAGGGCACTCAGAACAGCTTGGAAACAAAAGTTGATTATATGCTGAACAGTATTGCTAATTTTAAAAATAATCTTTATGATCTGGAAAATATTAAGTGATTGAAGTTATGTTCTAACATGTTCAGCTGTTTGAAATACGTAGTTGCTCCAGACACATCTTCAGTACATAACTAATTTAGTAGTGAACTAAAGTGCCAATTTATCACATTTTGAAAGAGCTGGTTTTAGTGCATTTCCTTTCATCTTGCCTTTATTGAGCATTTATTGGTTTTGACTCATTCTAGCATATTACAGCTATCAACACCTGTGCCTATTTAGGAATGAATTCCAGTATTCTAGTACAAATCATAGTGAATTGAACAGACATCTCAAAGATGAATCACAATTGTTGCAATATTTTTAGAAACTCAAACAAGGAAACAACTTCAGTAAAAGTGATTTAAATAACAAATATGTTATCTTTATAAACAGCTTATCTCCTTGAGAACAAAGAATAAACAAGGCAACGAGAGCTGGTGTTTCTTCCATTATTAACTCAGATCACAATATGCACGGGTGAAATGTCAAGAATAATTGGAGAAAATGACAGCATAATCTTCAGAAAAAACATCTGATTTATTTAAATTGTGGGAGTTTTTTTGTTAATCTTGTTATCCAAGACAGCACAGAAAAACTTCCCATCTGAGTCTATTCCAACATCTTCTACCTAAAAGAACAAGCTCTCTGCAATGCTACGAGCCTTTGATACTCCGGCAAACTCTGAGATGCCGTAACACACTAGTGTACTGCACAACCCAGGAACTGATTCTCCATTGGCTGTAAGCACTTGGCAAAACCATGTTTTGGTGTAAACCTAAACAAACAGGACTTTCAAGTATACTTCTACAGATTAGCATGGGTAGTGTCCCGTAACAGAGACAGATCTGTTCTGTGACACGTTTGTATACTTTATTTCCTGTAGCTGTCCCTTTGCTCACCTCCAAAAATGTGACACTGCAACCGTGTAGAAATTAAATCAACACTTGTTCAACCCAGCTGCATTATTAGTCTGCCAGCTAGGCAAAAGTATAGGTGGTCTTTAACAGGAATAAAAATCAGGGGTTTAATAAAACCCCTCCAGAGGTCTCCTCTGGCCTCTGGTGGCATAAACTCCACTCCTTTCAGAAATCCTAAACCCTATCAGGATGTATGTGTCCAAGGGTCGTTAGGCGTCTGCCAGACCCTGAATTCCTGCAGGATAGCAGAGTTTACCCGACTGCAAGGCTCCAAGATATTCCCCCCATGAGAAACATCTCTGGCTCCCAAACATAAACATACTTCTGATATATAACTGGTTATTCAGCCTGCTCTAAGAAAATGCATTTTTAGGGTAGTTTTCATCAACAGAGTTTCCATCAAAAGCCATTTTCCTGACATTATGTCAAAACACTCTGGGGTAAACTTGATATAACCACATCTATTCTGAGACAATCAAATATGCTATTAAATAGTCTACATTGCTTATAAAGCCTCAGATCAATAAAGCTGTGTAAATGTTCCCAAACTTACAGCCATTTTCACTATCTGCTTACAGCTTGCATTTCAGTCAGCTCAAACAGCTCAGCGTATTAGAAATTGATTGCACAGTTTTCCAGCTACAGGGGCACTACCCAGCATCTCTCAGAACAAGGAATTCACAGCAGAACACTCTGAGGAGGTGGATGGCATTTTGACATTTCAAACGTTAAAAAAAACTGTAAGTGTGTATGAATTGAAGTTGTGAATGCTCCATCCCTGGCAGTGTCCAAGGCCAGGTTGGACAGAGCCTTGGGTGACATGGTTTAGTGTGAGGTGTCCCTGCCCATGGCAGGGGGGTTGGAACTAGATGATCTTAAGGTCCTTTCCAACCCTAACTATTCTATGATTCCATGATTCTTTGAGAATAATCCCTTGATGAAAGGCAGAATATTGTGTAAAAGTGATGAGAGAAACTGAATATTAAAGTTAAATCTGAACATATAAATATATATATATAAATGTGAATATTACAAATTCTATTTATAAGCTTCATACTTTTATATGGCAGGTAAATACACAATGTAGATACTCAAACATTGTGTTTCAAAGCACTGGCAGCTAATGCAGGGATCAGGAAGTCATTTTTCCAGATAAAGCATTGCACAATTAGTTCAGTGTCTTGTGGGCTCTGCCTTAACCTGAATCAGCATTCCCCACAAGTTTTGACAGAATATGCCTATGTTGACTGAAATGTGTTAACCTGGACACTTGACAAAAGGATGGAGAGTCCTAACTGGATAAATGTGACTTTTTCTTTTAAAACCAAAGAAAAAAAAAACAGAAAAACCTACTTGAGAGGTATTACTACATCAAACTTAAGAAGTAATCATCCATTAATACCTGCTTCTGTGGGTTCAAGCTATGAGAATTTGCTATTCATATTGCCACTTGAAGTTATGTCAGAAAAGTTGAATTAAATAATGTGTAGTAACAAATCTACAAGCACATCCTCTTGGATGTTATTCTAAACACTTGATTTTTTGCATCTAATCTTTGGACTTGCAAACACAGCTGACCCCTCTCCCTCCAGGTTTGAAATCTGGCCCAAAGTTCACGTCAGAAACAGAATTAAAACTTTCTTTTCTGAATTTATGTTCACCTCCATCCTGAGAGAAGAACCTTTCTAGCAAGCAGAAGGAACTACAGACAGTGTAACTCCAGTCTCATGGAGCAAAAATCATCCAAAATGCAAATCAAAATAAACAAATGCATTTTCTGAGTTGGAAGGAAACATGGAGGCTCACAGGTCTCAAATTCCCAACCCCATTCACTCCTTCTCTTTTCCTCATGAGCCAGTGTGGCACACATGCTTACGTATGATGCATGGGGGGGCTAGTCATGAAGCTGGGCATCTTCCCCTTTGTCTCCTAGACCAGAGGATTTGTACGTGACCTCAATGAAAAAAATACCAGAGATAGGAGACCTCACCAAATTACTGTAACCTCCTTACTTACCAACACTAGTGACACATGGGCACTTAAACATTCAGTCCCAGTAGCTTGCCTCTATACGGCTCTCCACCACCAGTTATCCTGTTAGGAAAAGCAGACAAAACAGTGGCGCTATGATGGTATGCCGTGAGAAAAGCATTCAACTTAAGCCTCAGTGCTTACCCAGTGTGAGAACAAATTGTATTCTTGATTCGTCATAGGCTCACCAATGTCCCAAATGTACAGTATTAGGCAAGTTTTTGTTTCTTTGGAACAGATAGTGAAACCAAGCTTCGCCGGGAGGCAGTCAATACATTATACTTAAGACAATCAGATGTGGTAGCAAACGTTGTGTAACAAGCAAAAGATTACCTATGCACACATCTGGATAATCTCAGTAGAATGAATGAGTTTTTTCTTGCCTTGCTGCAAGACCAGTCTAATAACTAGTACAATTCAGGTAAGGCTTCCTTTCACTCCCACGTTGTAAAACTCTGTCAGCTTAAATTCTGTTTATAATAATGGAGTAGTTGGCAGCTATTAGCAGAAAGAAAGGAAGTAAGGACAGTGCACTAATACGGAGTGATGAGCAGGAAATTCACAGAAAAGTTACCAAGCAAACCATCTACAATCATACTGGTTACATGTATGCATTCACCTCTGCTTTTTGATTATCTTCTCAATAACACAGGTAACTGCTAATCAAACTTGCCCCATGTTAACACTGAGCTTCTCAGATCTGATCTCAGGCAGTCTGACATGTTTAGAAAGATAAAATAACCATTTTTAACTATCTTGTTCTTCCTGGATAGTAATGGAGTGCCCCCAGAATCCCTTCATAAGGAGGAAAGAAAAAATATATATGCATATTTTCATTACAGCATTGCCTTTTCCCGATCTTGATACGAACAGTTTTGTCCATGTTCACTGACAACACTGTTGAAAAAAATGATTTCTTATTCTCTTACAGCAACACCTAGGTTAAGCTTCTGACTAATATACCAACTTAACCTACTTGGGGCTCCCCACCTGTAATGAACAGCAATCCTTCCTTTGTGCACTCTTTAAGGGCTGCAGGTGAAAAGTTGAAGTCGAGAGTAATGCATTATTACTGTCATGTTAAAACATTCCCCGGTTTAAAAAGAAAAAAGGCTACCCTGAATCCACCGCAGCCACAGAGGCCCCCGCATCGCCCTCACCGAGGGCTGGGCCCAGGCAAGCGGCCTCGGGGCAGCTCGCACCGCCTCACACACCCCCTGACCCCACACGAGCTCCTTCCCCGGGTGAGAAAGAAGTTTGCTGCGGACAACAAGGCGGGGGAAACCCGAAGGAAGGGCCGCACCACCCCCATGGAGCCCCTCCTGTAGCGGAACCGAGCCCCCCAGCCCGCGCCGAGCCCGCCAATCCAGCTCCCTCAGGACCGCACCTCGCCTCTCGCGCATGCCGGGATCTGTAGTTTGGTAGGCGCGTGGCCGTGCAGAGTATAGCGAGTGTGGCGGACCCTGAGGACTACAGCTCCCAGCATGCCTTGCGCGCGGGCGGTGGACGCATCCGCTGGCGGCGGCGGCGTGGGTGCGCGTTGCCGGGCAGTCAGCTGGCGGCGGGGCGATAAGAGGGCGGGCGGCGGGGGCGTTCGGGGCAAGCTCACTCGGTCGCTCACGTCTTGCCGCGCTCCTCTCGGCGGGGGGAGAAGGCGCCCGCTCCGCCATGGCTGAGACGATCGCGGACACCCGGCGGCTGATCAGCAAGCCGCAGAACCTGAACGACGCCTACGGGCCGCCCAGCAACTTCCTGGAGATCGACGTGGGTAACCCGCAGACCGTGGGGGTGGGCCGCGGCCGCTTCACTACCTACGAGATCCGCGTCAAGGTGAGCGCCTGACTCAGTGGGGAGGGTGGGGGGCAGCTGGGCGCTGCGGCCGGCCCAGTTTCTGCTTGCTGGGGGTTCCCATCGGGTAGCTCCGTGGGGTCCGTGCCTGCTCCTCTTGCGGCGGGACCCGGGAGCGAATCGAGAGCGAGCGAGGGAGGGAGAATGCGGATCCCGTGTGTCGGCGTTGGGCTCCAGCCGACGCTTACATAACCGGGACGGGTGTCCTCGGGGCTGGGCCGGCGGTGGCGAGCAGCCGCCGTCGTGTCCTTCAGAGCCCGTTTGACAGCTGGTGCGGTGGGTACCACTGGGCAGGTGATGGCTGAGCGTCAGCGGGCTTCACTCTCAGCATGAGAGCAGGGCCCAGCTTCTGCAGGCGGCTGGAGCTGGCAACTCTGGCGCTCTGGTGGTAGCAACGGCAGTGCACTTCGGTTGAAATAACCAAAGGACAAATGTTCTTTCGGCGCCACTGTGCACAACTGTCAGTAGACCGAAATTTTGCTGTACTGTGAGCAATCAGACTCTTAAGTAAATAGAAGAGGGCGAACTCTCACCTGAGGTGTAGTAATATGGATGGATCTGCCCTGACAACGAGGCCAAGTTCAGGATTTCAGCAGCCTCAAAAACCTGTAGAGAATGTGTAAATAAGTCTAGTGGGTACATGTGATGGGGCAGAGCTAGCTGAAGTGATAAGGTGAGTGTTTATAGGGAGGCCTTCCTCTTTGCTTTTGTATGTGAAATATGAATTGAGTGCCAAATAAATAAGGCTGTTTCTCATGTGCTGTCAAACTTTTCTTGGCACTGGACTCCTTCCTAGCTGGAAGGGCAGTGTTCACTGGCATGCCCCAAAGGCTAATAGTCTTAAGCTTGAGAAAAGCTATGTGGAGTAATAAGGTCTCTCATTTCATAAACAGGGCCTGCAGGAGTAGACAGTGAAATACAGTGTCTATGGCACTGGTCCTTGCCTGCGCAGTAGCGGCTTGAGGCAGGACATCCTTTTAGTTTGTGCTTCCAGGGATGAGTTGAAAGATGACTGTTTTTTTGTACCTTGTGCTTGAGTCTATTACCTTGTATAGCTTTACTCTTGCAGCTGATTGAGCATGGTCAGTTATTACAGGCAGTAATAGAGAAGGAAGAAGCCTCATTGACTCTCTATGACTATTTTTGCAGTATGGGTTCTTTATTCACACAAAATGCACATGCCTTCATGGCAGGGAAGGCTTCAGCTGAGGGCTGCTGCTCTGGTCTCTCAAAGTCTTCAGACAAGACTAAAACCCTGTGTGGATTTTCTGGTCAAAGTTCTCAGCTTAGTGTAACTTTACTTAAAAAAGCAACATCATTTGGGATCTAAAGCTATGAAGGAGGATACTTCATTCATTCTGACACTCCTGGATTGCCATGCCCCCTGGCTATTCTTACATTTCAGGATGTGCTCATAAGGTGGGAAGAATAAATTGAAACAACTGTAACCTGTGTTTGGCCTCTGTGTGAGGACAAACTCGAGCTTGCACGCTTAAGTTTCATTACACTGCCCTAGCAGCCCACTTTGCAGACAGATGTAACTCTACCTTGTTTGGAAAGTATTTGTGCCTTAAGTTCCTGATGATGTTCTTTTTTGTGAGATTGAGCATTTGGAATTGCTGGATGTAGGTAAGATGATACAAAAGGAACACAGCTGTGATACAGCCTTGGGAATGAGACCAAATTTACTGGGTTTAAAATATTTTTATTTTTTTTTTTCCCCCGCCTCCAAAATCCCCAACTGAGGTTCTTCAGCAGAAAGGAAAGCAGAAAAGCAGGTTCTGAGACAGATTAGTATTAGCC